CTAATAATGACCTTACTGATTACTGTATCTCCTTCAACTAGGTTACTGATTTTGATGAAAATATAATAAATATAGCTTGCAGCACCTGGAAATTTGTTCTCTGCCTGGAATAGTTCTGAGGTGAAGACTTATTTTTAAGAATTTCTTGAAAGTGATTAAATATTTTGGTTCTCCTGAGGCGGTATTTCTGTGTTTTCACAGATGACATTTTTGAAATGTATGAAATATTTGATGATAAAATATTTAATAAGGCTGGCGTTCATATTTTTCAGACATCTGTTTCTAGTTTGAGACTGTCTGAATGTGATTTTACATGAAATTTCTATTTGCATGTTGTGTTGGTTTAAGAAAAGGGCTTGTGCTATGCATGACATATGCGTCTCATAAAATAATGAATGCCTGCGCCTCGCAGTCCAGAAGATATTGTACAAGGAGCATTGTGGTCTGCATATTAAAATGCATCTAAGTAAATCATTAAATAAAAACAGAACCATTTCCATGGGGGAATAATGGAACTCAACTCCTATTGAGAACCTACTAGGTATTATGGTAAAAAATAAGGATAAGGGAAAAAAAAAAAAAGATCAATAACATATATGGTCTTTATCCTCAAGGTTCAGATTCAGTAAAGGTTTATTAAGCTCTTACTCATTATCTGGTGCTTTTCGACTCAGCGTCTCATTTATGAAATAGAGTGGTACAAGGATATAAGTTTTCTGGACTCAGATATAGGGCTGTGAAGCCCTGCTTCATTCCTTGGTGGTCTTGTCACCTTGAGTAAGTCACTGGCCCTCTCTGTGCCTCAGTTTCCACATCTGTGAAATGGGGATAATAACTCACGCCTTAGTCTGTTTGAAGGATGAATAATAAAATGAGAAAACAGATTCTTAGGGGTTAAAGGGCTTGCTGATGGTCAAAAGTCTAGCAAATAGTGGCGCTGGGAGTTCCAGCCCTTCCGACTTCAAGCTCAAAGGCCCCTAGATTGTGACATTCGGTCTCTTATCCCTGAAGTTTAACCATGCCATGAAAACAGAGCAAGCTTCCATTTGGAGACTTGGTGTAAGCTCTGATATGATTTTCATAAATCTAAATAGTTATTCTACGATACCCACTTCATTCCACGTTCATCTTAATCCATGTGTCACCTGCAAAGATGGATGAGTAATTTGGAGGCTTGATTGATGTGGGTTTTGCCTTACGACTTTCCTCGAAGTTAATGGGAGCCATGCGGTCCCAGATCATGAATCACTCCAGCTGGAAATGCTCCATGAGAAGGAAAGAGAAAAGGAAAGATCAGCAGGATGCCTGGAAAACAGTCACACTCAGGGCTGTGAATGGATGGTAAAGAAACTCTGTGTTTGGAAGCGTGGAGAGGGTGCAGTGAGCACTGGAATTGGAGTCAGGGTTGGCTCCCTGCTGTGCTGCCATTCTGTGGGCTCTTGAGTGCAAGTCATTTCTCCTCATTGGGCCTCAAGTTCCTCATCTTTAAAATGGAAGTAATAATTCGCCTTTCCCACAGGATAAAGGCATCACGACATTGCTGACTCTAGTCACGTGCCTACTGTCAGGCCTGTTCTAGATGCTTCATATACATCTTATTTCATCTTTACAAGGGCCCACAAAGCAGCATCAGCCACATTTTGCAAATTAGGAAACTAAGACACAGAGAGGTTAAGTAACTAAGCCGAGGCCACCCAGCTGGGAAGTGGCAGAGACAGGATTTGAACACAGGCAGGCAGAATGTGGAGCCCTGGCCCATAGCCTCTAGCAGTACTCCTCGTGGGCATGAAAGCACTTTACGCACAGGTGACACCTGTCATTGCCGTGATAGCCTTTGTTGTGTCCTGATTCAGGCTCTCAATGAAAAGGCAGGATCAGAGAAAATGAAAAGAAGTGACTCTGTGTGATAGTGAAAGAGCACTCAGGGGACAGTTGTAGCAGACACAAGCACCAACACGATGCTTCATGGCTGCCCAACTAGGGAAAGAGGAGTAGACGAGATGGAGCCAAGCCGGGGAGAGGGCTCTGCAGGAGCAACTGATGAAAACAAAGTAAGAGGCAAAGCTGCAGATAGATATTGACCAGCCTCCATCCTCGAGTTTACAGGGGCAGGGGTGGGGGGTGGGGGCGGGGAACCTCTCATATGCAAAACTGAGACAACTCCATCATGGGATAAATAGGTCAAGTCTTGACATTTGAAATGTGGTATATCAACCGTTAGTGACACCACACAGGGCTTGTTAGAAGTGCAGAATCTCAGGCCCCACTGCCAAGGCCTATTGAATCAGAATCTGTATTTCACTGGATACCAGACTTTCCTTTGCACATTAAGCTTGGAGAAGCCCTGCTTTAAAGCCATGTGCTGACAACTTGGGAGACTGTGGGGCAGTGGACCCAGAGGCAGAAGTCACGACCTCTTAAGCAGATTCTATTTGAAAGATGCCCAGTTTATATTTTTTCAAAGGCAAAAGGTGCAAAGTCACGGAAATTGAGGCACAGACAGTATAGGAATGTGTAACAGATACACATATATGGGGTGAGGCTGGGGTATGCCCTGAAAAGCATTCTTTTCAGAATGACAAGAACTCTTAAGAGTTCAGTGGCCCGGCTCAGTAGAAATGACACCACCTGGGGTCTCATCTGGGCCCTGACACTACTGCCCTGTGGGATCTTGGAAGAAGCCAGATTGAGGAGCGGACTGCTGAACAACTGCCCAGGGCACAAATTCACCAGGGGAGCTGAGACACGGCTAGAATATATTGGTGGAATAATAGAAGGTTCCACTTCCACCAAAGTAGACAGCGCCCTCCAGTGGAAGATAAAAATACAGCGTTTCTTCCAAGCACAGCCCCCTGTTCTTCAGGAGGCACCAGAAGTTCTGTAAAGATGTGTTCCACGCAGTGGGGCTGTTTACTGGGAATAAGTGACTTCTTTCATCATCTAAATAGAAAATCCTTTAACATACATGCCAAAAGTTGTACAGATTAGCAAGTTGCAGAAGAAAACGCTAGAGAGTCTAAAGACCACAGAAAAGTGGGAAATATTGGGCAGGCATTTTTCTAGATGTTGACACCACCACTTCTGCCCAAGATTTTTAAATTATTATTATTTAAGACAGAGTTTCACTCTGTTGCCCAGGCGGCAGTGCAGTGGCACAATCTCAGCTCACTGCAACCTCTGGCTCTCACGTCAAGTGATTCTCCTGCCTTAGCCTCCCAAGTAGCTGGGACTACAGGTGCCTGCCACCACGCCGAGCTAATTTTTACATTTTTAGTAGAGACAGGTTTTCACCATATTGGCCAGACTGGTCTCAAACTCCTGACATTGTGATCCACCTGCCTTAGCTTCCCAAAGTGCTGGATTACAGGTGTGAGCCACCGAGCCTGGCTCCAAGATTAATGAGTAAGAGAATTTCTTTTTCTGTGCAATTTCTACTAACACCCAGTGTTTCTCCTCTTGAAATACATGTGGGGCAAAAATTTGAGGATATTTGTTTGAAGGATTACCAACTAAACCACCAGCCTGGCCCACCCACAGTCCTTAATCCCACACTGCCCATAATCTCTTCCCCACCCTGTTCTTCCCTCCTCACTGGTAGGAGGCTCAAGGGAGAAAGTGGACTTCAAAAAAATGCAACAAAGTGCCTCAAACTATAAACCCAACAAGGGACTGCTCAGAGGCAGCGGGATTGACAAGGTCCCCAGGTAGCATCATTGGTTCCTGCTCTGAGGTGAATTGTCCTGGTAAAGAGATTGGCTAGCTGGGCATGGTGGCTCATACCTGTAATCCCAGCACTTTGGCAGGCCGAGGTGGGTGGGTCACCTGAGGTCGGGAGTTCCAGACCAGCCTGACCAACATGGAGAAACCCCCTCTCTACTAAAAACACAAAATTAGCCAGGCATGGTGGTGGGTGCCTATAATCACAGCTACTCAGAAGGCTGAGGTAGGAGAATCACGAACTCTGGAGGTAGAGGTTGCAATGAGCTGAGATTGTGCCATTGCACTCCAGCCTGGGCAACAAGAGTAAGACTCTGTCAGAGAGAGAGAGAGAGAGAGAGAAAGAGAGAGAGAGAGAGAGAGAGAGAGAGAGAGAGAGAGAGAGAGAGAGAGAGAGAGAGAGAGAGAGAGAGAGACTGAATATGAGACAAGGACAAAGAGGCAACATACATGGACCGGAACCTGGAGCCTTTATACCGAACTCTGTGCTGCGAGTCTTTTCATGAATAGACATTTTGCTAGCTGCTGCTGGGGAAGTAGAGATGTTTGATTACAATGCTTCCCTCAAAGAGATTATAATCTACTACAGCTAGGGACAATGGCCAAGGCTAGACAGATTTGGTTCCAAAATTCTCTGCCATCTGGATGACATCTCAGTGACCTTAGCAAGTCATGGCACTTCTTGTGGTGCTGATTTCCTTACCTGTAACGTGGGCAAGGCAATTCCTCTCACTAGAGATTGTTATGGCAGAAACTTCGTTCCTTTTGCCTCTCATTTCCATGTGGATGGAAGGAGTAACACTCCTGGCCTCTTGCCCTACCCCTTCCTCTTCCACCCCTCAGAGAGGAAGTAAATGAGTTACCTGATGTGGGGCCACACACCCTTGGGACCACAGTTCTTGGTGGGCAGAGCTAAGTTACTAAAAGTCTGTAAGACCAGGGGTTTCCTCTTCACCCCTTTTCTTCGCACCAGTGCTAGGCAGGAATCCTCGGTAGATGAGTGACTCTAAAGCCCAACTTCCCCCACTAGGCTTTTCCGAGGTCTGTGTGGGGGACCTTGTATGGGACCCTGTATGGGTGCAAAGAGGGTTCATAACCAGCCCTTTGACCACAAATACTAAGTCATGCTCTCCAATCCGTTTATTAATAAAAAGCTAACATTGATCTCCATCGCCAGTCTCCTGGATCTTATTTCTCAATTGATCCTCATTTCAGAAGGGAAGAGAGAGGGATTTTCACTGAACCCCTTAAAGTCTAACAAGAGGCCAGGTGCAGTAACTCACCCCTGTAATCTCAGCACTCAGGTAAGTCAAGGCGGGAGAATCACGCTTGAAGCCAGGAGGTGGAGACCAGCCTGGGTGACAGAGTGAAACCCTGTCTCTTTAAAAAAAAAAAAAAAAAAAAAATTAACAGTCTCATAAAGGCAATGGTGAGAAGAAAATGAGATATGTATATGTATTTAAATTACCTGTTTCATAAGAGGCATCAACAGAAGATAATTATAGTCATATTGGCCCAGTTAGTAACCCAGACAGACTTTTTATCTAGACCTGAGAAAGACCGAAGTTATCAGTAGAGGCCTCCAAGAGGAAATCAAGTGTAACTCGGGTCTGGAGAAATGAGGAAGGAAACGGGAGGGCGTTTCACACAGGAAGATGTCCATGGGTAAAGGTGTAGATTTCCTCAACATTTCTTGTCATTTGTCCATCTTTGATGTCACGCTCTCTTGTTGGACTGGTTAGGTCTGCATCTTCATTCCTTCTGGGTGGTCCTTCTGTTCGCACAGCTCTCATCCTCATAAGGCCATTCTCCAGTCCCAGACTTCCCCTTTTCTCTCACAAGAATAGAGCCAAACCAGAATGAAGACGAGACTCCCCCACCTTCCTTGCAGCTGGGCTTTGTGCCCATGTGAGTCAGTCCTGGCTAACGGCGAGTGTGCAACAACGATGTGTGCAACTTAGGCCATGCCTGCTCTTCCTGCTTGCCTGTTCTTTCCGTGTTGGAGGACTCACTTCTGCCCTTCCTTCTTCCCAGAAGCCTTTCCTCATAACAGTGACAGAGGAAAGCCACCTTGGACCATGCGGATAAGGAATACATCCTAGACCGACACAAAAGGAACCTGCCTTACAGGCAGCTTTGTAAAGCAGAGCCTTCCTACTAACTAACTAGAACTTCTGGGTGAGAAACAAGTTAACTACTATTTTATGCCAACTACTGTTATTTGGTCTCTGTTAGGCACTGCCAGAATTATCCTAGCCAATACTAGCTGCTGATCACCGTTATAGGAGCGAAGGATTCCTAGAGCAAAGGGCAGGGATGAATCTCCAGGTATACAGCATAGCATAGACACAGGTATAGAAGCTGGAAGAATCCACAGACCTGCAACTAGCTAGGTGTGTCTGGGGCCAAGTCTAAGGCAAAAGGAGAGTGGTGAAAGAGGCTGACAGGGTCCAGACCAGGCAGGGTGTTTTATGAAAGTTACAGAATTTGGATTTTATCCAGCAAGCAATGGAAAGTCAGGGACGTGTTCTAGACAGGTGAATGGACTGTCTAAAACAGCTCCCCAACCTGGCACCAGGAACCAGTTTTCTGGAAGATAATTTTTCCATGGACAGGGGCTTAGGGAGATGGTTTTGGGAGGAAACCGTTCCACCTTAGATCATCAGGTATTAGATTTTCATAAGGAGTGTGCAACCTAGCTCCCTGGCACACACAGCTCACAATTCCCATGCTCCTGTCAGAATCTAATGCCCCCACTGATCTGACAGGAGACAGAGCTCAGGCAGTAATGCTCACTCGCCCACTGCTCACCCACTGCCTGCTGTGTGACCCAATTCCAAACAGGCCAGGGACCAGTACCAATCCATAGCCCTGGGGTCGGGGAACCCTGATCTAAAACACAGAGTTAGACTGTGTTCTATAAGGACAATGCTGGCCTCAGTATGCACAGGGTTGGAAGAGTCAGATGAAAGATGGCTTATGAGAACCTAGCTGCTCTCCCCATTACCAGGCTGGTGTCGCCCATCTGCCCCTAGAGGCACATCCCACACTCTTCTCCAGAACTTAAGAGAACCCACGCTCAAGAGAAGGTTTGATTTCATGTTTGTTAGACACAGGTTTACCTGGAACTACATCTGTACCCCCTCTAGATCTCAGCATTAAAATAACTGAATTTCTGTTCCCTTTGGAGCTATGTCCTCAGCCAATTCATATTAGTTCCATTTTTGGAGAACTGAGTTGATCTAACGTCAGTGGGATCATATTGACAAAAAGTCAACAGGAAAATTTCAAGTAAAGCCACTAATTGTTTCCTCATGGTGGGGGTTTCAACAGGACGTACAGGTGAGATTTGTTCTTAAGTATCCAGGGGCCATAGGAGTTGCGTGGTCTTCAGGCCTGTACTCAGAAAAAACTTCTCTGAAGGATATCAAGCCCACGTAGACCACACTATGAGCCCTCAAGTTATATTACTTCCATTCCCACCTCCTAGAGAGCAGGAATGGTCTTTGCTCACCTCTACATCCTCTCACTGCCCAGCACAAGCTGTACCGTGTAAAAATTCAATAAAATTTGGTCAAACTGGATTAGGCTCAACTATTCCTTATGCTTCTAGCTCGTGAAGGTTTACTCATTTGGACATCACAGTTTCTCATCCAGGGTCATCGGTGTGCAAGTAAGTACTGCAATTGGATGAAGCCACGGTTTTCCTGAGATTTACTTCTATTCTCCACAGAGCCACCTCTTCACTCTCATAAAATGTGCTTGACAAAAGAAAAGGAAAATTTCCTTGTTATGGTGATTGGTGCCTTATTTCTATGTTTTCCTAAAATGCAAAATCAAGATAGATGTTTGGTGTATTTATACAACTTTGAAAGCAGCTGGAGTAGTTCTGTCAGAGAAATACACCCAGGAGTACTGCCCCCAATGTGTAAGCATGACCTAGATATGTATTGTCATTTTTAATCGTTTTAGGTTAATTTCCTCCTCTATCAAAGCAGAGAATCAACAGATACCGTCTCAGGCTGAAAAATCATTTAAAAATTTAAATGATGGCAGATTTTATACAATGCATAGTCAAGATAACAGTGTTTGCTTGTGTTCTGCCTACTCCTCCACCCCCCAGCTCTCTCCCTCCAAACACACAGTAACAATATATAAAATGTAAAGAGGTAAACTTAAAAACACATAGGCATGCTTGAAACGAGAAGAATCTCCATGGACTAGAAATAAAAAGTGGGAAGTGGAGGCTGTACCTATGAGCCTCCTGGGCTGAAGGTTGGGAAGCAAAGAGAAAAAGTGTGAATTTGGATTCTAGGATGTCACCAGAAGTAGCAGCCTTCAACATGAGGTGGGGCACTTGAGTCGGGCTCCCTGATCCAAACCAGGGGTTTGAATGTTTTGCTCTTGAAAGGAAGTTGAAATTGTCTGCTGACAGCTCCCAGTTATATCCCATAAGAAGTTTCAAGCTTAGAGAAACAGGGGGAGGACAGATCCTTACCAACAGGACATCAATCAAGCTGCTGGCTTGATGAAAGTATCTGCAGTATCCCCAGTGTCATCACTGGAGCTCCAGCCTGCTAATGCAAAACATGGCTCTGAACTAAGGGTCCTGAGGGGCTGGGTGGAGACAGCCACATAACTGCCAGGCAGGGAGGAATGCAGAGCAAGAGAAAGAGCTCCCCCATTCAAAACAAACCTGTATACCAAAATTTAAAAACAACTGAAAAACTGATACCAGTAAAATGGAAGCACTAATGCTTCAAATATGTCATGAGAATACTAGCAAAAAATTTTTAGAATCAACTTATTTAGAAGTCTGGAAGTTAATCAAATTCTTGTAGCAATCTGGGGAACAATTATCAAGGAAAAACAGCTAAATCTTAGTAAAGGCAGCAAGTGTTGTGGTATTTTAATTTGCCCTGTTTCCATCTCATGCTCTCCAGCTCCACAGTAGCCTTAAAAATTAACAGCCTAAAATCATAGTAAAAATCAGCAGACTGCCAGCCACCAAGAGAGCATAAAAGGGTTGGTGTTCCTTCAAAGCCTCCTTTCCAGAAAACTTGTCATCCTATGACAAGTCTAACAGTTGTCTGGAAGCCCTCACTTTAAAGAACTGTCTTTATTTGACCTGACTCAAGGGTCATACAGTACAAAACGCTTTTTCCCTAGGGGTGTTTGTTAAAAACAGTTAGAGGCAATTGATTACATTTGTAGTTTCCCAAGGCCGTTAGATAATTGGGGTAAACAATAGGCTAAACAAAAAGCTTAAAAGAAAAAGCTGAGGTATGAGATGTCCATAGGGGCTTTAAAAAGTTTTCACATGTTCCTGGCACTCTAGAAGGCCATGCATATGCAAAGGTGTATACACATGCCTGGGGCTGTGCATAGACTCAGAAAAAACCTGAGAAGGTGCTAAGCTCCCACCTTGGGTTGACCTTGAGATCTTGCACAAATAAAAAGTGAAGGGTTAGACAGAGTTGCTAACAGCCTGGCTGATTTTGGAAATCATGCACCAACACACACACACACACACACACACTCTCTCTCTCTCTCTCTCTCTCTCTGCAGTCCTTTGACAAAGAGAGGGAGATTTACTGATTGCAAGAGTTTTAAGGAAATCTCTATCCAATCATTTGCTCACCACTAAGGTAAGAGACTTAGATGGCTAAACACAACTAGTAACACAGACTCTACAGAGTTAGTACAGAAAAGTTACTAAAGAAATGAACAAAAGCAACAAACAGTAACAACAAATCCTGGAGAATCTGATTTCCAGAGTTGCCAAATTTATAATTTCAAATTTTCCACAAATTATTAAGAGATATTTAAAAAAACAACAAAATATTTTATTTGCAAGGGGACTTAAGAAAAATTAATCAATTAATAATAAAGAGTCGGGCGCAGGGACTCACGCCTATAATCCCAGCACTTTGGGAGGCCAAGGCAGGTTGATCACGAGGTCAAGAGATCAAGACCATCCTGGTCAACAAGGTGAAACCTCATCTCTACTAAAAATACAAAAATTAGCTGGGCATGGTGGTGTGTGCCTGTAATCCCAGCTACTCAGGAGGCCGAGGCAGGAGAATTGCTTGAACCCAGAAGGCGGAGGTTGCGGTGAGCCAAGATCGTGCCATTGCACTCCAGTCTGGGTAACAACAGCGAAACTCTGTCTCAAAATAATAATAATAATAAAGAAACAAGAAAGTATGACCCATTTACAGGAAAAAGATCGATCAATAGAAACTGTTTCTGAGGAACACCACACACTGGTCTTACTAGACAGAGACTTTATTTTTCTTATTTATTTATTTATTCTTCTTTTGTGTGTGAGACAGGGTATCACTCTGTTGTGCTGGCTGGAGTGCAGTGGCACAAACATGACTCACTGCAGCCTTAACCTCCCAGACCCAAACAATCCTTCTGCTTCAATCTCCTGAGTAGCTAGAACCACAAGTGCAAACCACTATGCCTGGCTAATTTTTGTTTGTTTTTGTTTTTGGGAGAGACAGGATCTTGCCATGTTGCCCAGGCTGGTCTCAAACTCCTCAGGCTCAAGCAATCCTCCTGCCGTAGGCTCCAATAGACAAAGACTTTAAATCATTTATTTAAATTATGTTAAATGAGCTAAGGAAACTATGTCCAAAGAAGAGAGCATGAGAATGATGGCTCACCAAATAGAGAATATCA